CAATTTCAATATTTGAATAATTTTCTTCTATTGAAATTAATTTTCGCCTTTTTGTTGCAACAGAGAGTTCTTGAAAGTTCTCGTTCGAACAAGGCTTTCTTCCAGTCTGAATTTTTTTGTTAGAAAGTTCTACAACAAAATCAGAATTTAACCATTTTAAGAAGCGTTTCTCAAATTTGCTTCTTATGTACAGTGACTTTCGCCACTTCTTTTGAAAAATATTGAAAAAGTATCGATTCAAAGCGTCACTTACTACTTCGATATGCTCAGTATTAAGAGCGTACTCATTTTGCAAATGGGTCACTAATTTTCCCAATTCAGGATTGTTGTTTTCTATGAGAAAATTACAAAGAATCCTCTTAGAAATCCTAAAAGAATCCATTATATGTTATTACAACGTAGCTACGTGTAGTCTCGGACACAGAACTCGCGGATATGTCAGGACACGATACGGTATATAAACAAAATACGCGCGGGCTTACGCATGCCTATACACGAAAGCGAGAATCATTTGTGTTAACACAAACCCCGCGTAAATAAAAAATAACTTAGTGGAAAAATGTCAATTCATCACCTTATTTGTTTAAATATTTTTGCATAAACAAAGAAAATCCAAATTCGGCTTTCTTAGTTCTCTTAGGAATTTATTTCTGAGTATTTCTGTTCAAAGATCATTGAAATCGGTTGAGAAATACGACCTGTAGACTGTTTTGAACAGAATCTTTTGCGTTTGGACCACTGTGCGTCGGGGTGCTTGATTATCGTGAGTCCCCTTGCCTCTCACGTCGGGGTGCTTGATTATCGTGAGCCCCCTTGCCTCTCACTGACACTGTAATTTAAATGAATTGCCCACGGAGTAATTGTTCAAAATTACCTCCGTTGGCTTCGAGGCATAACTGCAATCTGTTTTGAAAACTATCCACAGTTCTAAACAGGGTAGCTCTAGGAATGGCTGCACAAGCTCTATGAATGCGGTCCATAAAATCATCTCTTGTGGTTGGTCGTTCAGCAAAAACAACATTTTTCAAGTATCCCCATAAAAAGAAATCAGGCGACGTCAGATCTGGTGAGCAAGGAGGCCATTCAACTGGACCCTTCGTCCAATCCATCTGTCATTGTAAGTGGCATTTAAAAAGGCACGTACAATGAGTGCATAATGCGGTGCAGCACCATCTTGTTGAAGCCACATTCTTGCTCTTGTTGCTAAGTCAACATCTTCTAATAAGCCTGGTAAGTGATCTCTTAGTAACGATAAGTAACTGTGTCTATCAACGTTCTCTTCAAAAAAATAAGGTCCAATCAAATAATCATTTACAATGCAGCACCACACCATAATACTCCATCGATTTTGATGATCTATTGGCCTATACCAGTGGGGATTAACATCTGACCAATAATGGCAGTTGTGTCTATTAAGTTGTCCGTTACTACAAAATGTAGCCTCATCTGAGAAAAGCACATACCTAAAAAAATTAGGATCATCGTGTAACATTTGTAAAGCCCACTGGCAAAAAGCAATACGCATCAGATGATGATTAGGCTGTAAAGCCTGCGTAAGAGTGATGTGGAAGGGTGATAATTTAGGGCTCTTAAAATTCTAACAACAGTTTTTTGTGGTATACCTATTTCCCTTTCAATCTGGCGAGTACTAACATGAGGATTAAGGTGAACTATTGCTAAAATAGTTACAGCTCGCGCATCATTTTCGTCATATTCATGATGTTGACGTTGACGAACAAGATGTCCATTGCGAGCTCTTTGCACTAAACTACGTATTGTCATATCAGTTGGACGTCGCCTTTCAGGAAAATGTTGAGCATAAAGCCTTGATGCTGCATTGTAATTGCTATGACACTCCTCTAAAACTAATATAATATTAACAATCTCATTAGGACTATAATCAGCCATTCTGGAAAGATAACTTGTGAATGTAATTACCTAAATACAATGTTTGGAATTTTAAAATTTAAGCAACTTTAAATACTAAATTCTTCAATTATGCAGAAGTGAGTAAGAAAGAAAAGGAATAAAACTCTATTATAACAATAATTATAAAACTTAAATCAAACGTAATTGTTTAGTTTTTTTCAATCGTTGATTATTAGCATTATGCAATATCTGTACTTGGCGGGTAGACGCCTTATGTTTAAATGGAAATCCATTTCTACTACGGGAGCAGCGGACGTAAGGTGCGCATAGCTGGGAGCTCTGCGACGGCATCTGGCGGTGAC